GAACTGTGGTGAATAAGATCAGTACTGGGCTAGTCCCCTAAAGTAAGAATTGTACTGAGAGTTCAACCAGAAAATAAAGGAGATTCAACCGAGTGTTAGAGAGAAATTCTTCTAAAAGTAATAATTCACCATTTTAACTACCTCAAGATAAAATAAGAATCTGAAACAACCGGAATGACAAAAATACTTATAAAATGCAGGATTTTACGCTTCAGCACATTTAAAGTCTAGACAGTCAGAATCACTGCCAGGAAACGTAATAAAGCGATTCATTGTTTTAAGACGACGAAACTACAATTATAGGGCGCCTAAAAACTATAAAAGCTATAGGGTTGTGACTTAAGACCCCACATAAACTGTTCCATTTCAAGCTTGACTTGTCCATGTCACCTTTGTATTTTTGAGGGAATTGAATTTTTTTAAGACGACGAAACTACAATTATAGGGCACCTAAAAACTATAAAAGCTATAGGGTTGTGACGTAAGACCCCGCATAAACTTGTCCATGTCACCTTTGTATTTTTGGCGGTTACAGCGTAAACCTACTGCTGTAGCACTAAACCATTTCGGTTTGTACTAAACCTTTTGTCGTCACGCTAAACCTTTTCACTTTACGGTGAGTAGATTGATGCGACGCTAAGCCATTTCGGCTTACGATGAACCATTTGCCGGTAACTTAAGCCATTTGACACTACTCTGAACCGTTTGTGTCAAGTCACGGAACCAAAATACAGTTAGCTGAACTGTTTGTCATTTCGACACTGAACAATTTCAGTTAACACTTAGCCAATCGTGTTTCTATTGAATCAGTTCAACAAGGGTGGCTACACAGTTCTGAATTGTATAAACCATTTTTGTTTGAATATTTCATTTCACCAAAGGCGACATGTCCATTAGTATTTTAAAAAAATTTCTTGTGATAAGATAAACCGTTCTCGAAGAGACAATTAGACCATTTCTGTTCATTACAAACCATTTGTTATTATAAGTAAGTGTTGCGCAGTAGTGTAGACGTTACAAACCAATGATGTCAGAACATTTCACAGTCATCCAAGAGAAGGAAGGAGAGTTCTTTGGACCACGACAAGTGCTTATTCGTGGCGTACGATTAACAATCAACGCGCCCAGCACTAGTAAGGATCTTGAGAGGGATCTGAGTCGTTTTGAAACCCGTTCAGACGATGTCTATGTGGTCAGTTTTCCAAAATCGGGTAAGGCTATAGATCGATTCTTGCGACTGGCCACTTTGCTTCACTTCGTCGCCGATATCTTTTACACTGCTGTCTTTTGAGTGCTGACTTATTTGTGAATAGGGACAATTTCGACAACAAAAAAAAAACGAAATTTTGTCCATAAGACGTCCGCAACACATGCCATTTTTGAATAATTGTTTGGTTGCCGTGTGAACTTTAGAGGGCATGTAAACCCTAAAAACGTTAATTTTAGAGAATGATATATTTTCGTCTTGTCACGAGCGTGGGACAAAGAAATAATTCTGAGTCCCCATGAGGAATCGAACCGCAGACCTTCGGATTCTGTGCTCCAATGTTCTATCACTAAGCCATAGAGACTACACGGTGTGCGAGGTCTGTTACGAAGTACATATGACACATGTCCTGCATACTGCTAGGATCAGCAATATCGACAGCATAATGTTTGTAGATAGAAATGAGAGAGATGGTAAGTTTTGAGCTCGGTAAAGAAATAGAGATTGACGTTTTTTTCGTCTTCTCACGAGCGTGGGACAAAGTTTTTCTTTTCACATAGATGTTTAGTAAATATATCAAGTACACCAAAGGTACCATTCGTTTTTTTCTGAAAAGTCCATTTTCACTTTGTAAAAGCTCTTGCAAATTCGAAACATTCGCCATCTTAAATGGCGCCATCTTTCCTGTGACCTGAGGGGTGGAACCTCCAAAGTTACGTTTTATAACCGCATGAGACACGTAGGAGTCTTCTCCACAGCCATTGTTTGCCGGTCTAGTCATGAGTTTTTACTAACAGTTTGCTTCAATATATTCAATGTTTTCATAATGGTAGAAAGTTGTATCGTCCAGTTTTGTACTGATTCAAACAAAACTGCAAAAATGCATACAATGCTTAGATTTCCAAATGACGCAAATTTGAAACGACAGTTGGTAAACTTTGTTCAGGTGAAAAAAAAGATTTCTATTGCATTCCGATTGTACTCTTGCTTTATTGGATTTTTATGTCAGATACAAATAAATCATACAGTAAATTAAATACCCGTCTGAGTTTCCGAAACGGTAACATCGCTGTCAACATGTTCTCTACAGTCCTTGTGCGGATCCCTTCGGTGAACCCTACGCGACTCATATTTTAAGGACGTGGCCGAGACTCTCCTAAAGATTCTGGATTATCCCCATCGCTGTCATATACTAGGTTTAAGGCATTCGTGTCACTCTCTTCTGAAAAAACATCGTCCAAACTACTGCTACTAATACGCGCTGCAATACCAATCTTACTGTGGAATATGTGTTGCGCAATATTTTAGTTCCAACGCTTACTTCATAAGTGTTTTCACAGGAAGTGGAATTTCTCCCTAATATAAGTCGAATTGGACAAAACAAATCTCAAATTCGTTTTCTATGCCACTTTTTTCATAGTATATGAAAAACATGTATTTTTGGGTTTACATGCCCTTTAATATATTATACTGTTTAGCCATATTCAAACCACGGACCTCATAGCTTAAAAGGTCCGTAGGGAGAGTACGTAAAACAACGTAATTGTTTTACAGCAAACCAAATCACTACGTATAACTCACAGAATATCTCATGTTTACAACCAAATACGACCAAATTAAAGCGTGCAAAAAATGTAAACTGCGGACAACGAGATCTATCCTTGAACTAAACTTTCTTTATTTTTCCTCAGGAACAACCTGGGTGCAAGAAATTGTCTGGCAAATACTCAACGATGGAAAAATCAGCGAAGAAAGGCTGGAAAGTCGCTATTCCTTTTTGGAAAAAAGTCAGCTCTTCGATAGGCCTGGAGACGAGTCAGACGGGCAGAAGGTCTCTATGACTTCTCGGCCCATTCCCCGCTTAATTAAGTCGCATCTTCCTTATCATGTGATTCCAATGAGTAAGGAGGAGAGCAAAAGAAGCAAGTATATTTACGTGGCAAGAAATCCAAAGGACGTTGCTGTTTCATTTTATCACTTCGTCCAAAGCTTTGATCCTGGCAGTTATTTTAATGGGACGTGGGAGTTCTTCGTAAAGTTGTTTCTTGAGGGCAAAAGTAAGGATTTTTATTTGTTAAAAATGGTTTTCGCTGTGAGCTAAGCGGAAGTTTGACGGCATTGGGAGCTCGCCTCCTACTATCTCTGAAAGTTCGTCACCTGAGGAAAAACAAGCTCGCTCCCACCTTTACCAGTTCGGACCAGTTCGTCCCTAAATCTTTCAAAGCTATCATGATTTCGACAGCAAAAGAATACGTTCTGCCTTAGGGACTGCCTCGGTAAGGTAGAATAACAATTATAACAAGAAATTTCATTTGTTTTTATCAACTGAGTTGATAATGTTAATTGGCCATCGTAAGGAGTTTCAAAGCTCAGGTTTCGGGCGTTAGCCCTTCGTCAGAGCGAATGGCAAATGGTGAGTGATTTGCTCTGACGAAGTGCTGACGCTCGAAACGTCAGCTTCGAAACTCTTTACAGTAACCAATTTACATCATGAACTCGGTTGATAAAAATTATCTTTGAAGGTTTAAGGGCGAGGTAGGAACAGTGGGTGTGAACTTGTTTCACTTCAGGGGGCGAACTCGCAAAGGAGGTAGGAGAACGAACTTGCAATAGGGCGAAACCTCCATAAATCTTTAGCCCTTCGTCAGAGCGAATGAAAAATGGCGAGTGATTTGCTCTGACGTAGGGCTGCGCTGATTTACTCTGACGAAACGTCTGCTTTGAAACACTTTACGGTAACCAATTTACATCATCAACTCGGTTGATGAAACAAAAATTATCTTGAAAGGTTTAGGGGCGAGCTGAGGAAGGTGGGTGCGAACTTGTTTCACTTCTCGGGACAAACTCGCAAAGGAGGTCGGAGAACGAACTTGCAATGGGGCGAAACCTCCATAAACCGTTAGATATCTGTGATCAAATGAAATGATTGTAAATTTAAATAATTTCCCACAGATTCCTATGGCTTTTGGTGTGATCACGTGGTACCCTGGTGGAAACACAGAGACGAACCTCACGTGTTATTTCTAACATATGAAGGTTTAAAGAAGGTGAGGGAGCGGATATTGTGCGACCATAAAACCCCTATAAATAAAGAGTGAGTAGTTGCACAAGTCTAAACTAGTAATGATTTCCTTAAAAAGCCATTTACCTTTCAGGATCTTTGTGGTAACGTTCGACTTATCAGCGAATTTCTCGAGAAGCCACTTTCAGATGAAATAATCCGTAAAATCACCCACCAGTGTACGTTTGCAGAAATGAAGAAAAACTCCAACTCTTATGTCTTTTCGAAATATGCTACAAAACCAAACTTGCTTCGCAAGGGTCAGATTGGAGACTGGAGGAGCCTCTTCAGTGAAGAATTAAACAAGCAATTTGAAGAAACGTTCCTGACGAAATTGAACGGGACTGGACTGCATTTTGACACAGAATGACAAACGTTGATTGGTTTTTGACTTAAACATCGATTCCTTGTAAAATGCATTTTAATAATGTGGTGCTTTTATTTTTAATTGTTCAGGTTATTGCGTAGCTAAGCAAAACAATCTCTTTCCTGTGAAGTTTCAGAGAGGCACGAATAAAGTGTGATAGGGGTGTGGTAGAGTGACCCAAAGTTTGAGCCCCACCCCTCCTCAATACGCATACGAAGCATACGAGGAGAGAAAGCAAAAACGTCATTCTCGCTGTCAGATTCTACCGTTTAACTGTAACTGAAAAGTCAGACCTTACAACCGCTTGGCCGTGGGGGGTCTGGATACGAGACTACGAAAACGTTAGGAGTGGGGGGCAACTTATGGCAACTTTTCCAGGATCTTGATGATCTTGTTTTACAAACAGAACGAGAAAAACTACAACTCGATCCACTAAGAGTTAAGAAGGCTCCTGACATGTAAAATGCTGGAGGGTACCATCCGAAACTGTCCTTTACGAACCCTGCGAGAGAAAAATCCAAAAATAATTCAAAATGCTCAACTTCAGTACCCTCTCATTAGAAGATGCAAAACGCTTATAACGAGCCCGTGGGTCCCCTTTTCAAATTCTAAAAGTAACAGTTTACTTCCTTTTTGTTTGTTTGTTGAGTTTGATCAAAAATTGAGTTTTGTTCAACTTAAACCTTGAGACATGTAATCAAAAATTTTTTTTATTTGCGCTTTCATAGAATTTGTCTCTTTCGCCTTTTTTCTACTCTTTTCAAACTTCTCGGCAAGTGGGCTTGCCAGACAGCTTGACCTATGTGTTGCACCTCACCCAGACTTACGCGCGGTGCACTAACATCATTTTATCTTTTCTCTGCTGATTTTTTCCGACTCGTACAACGGACTTTGCTGAAAAGTAGGGACTGAAGGTAATCTATTCAATGCTGTCTCTAACCTCGTCCAGATTTTTGCCTTTAAAGACTGCTAGAAACTTGCTTTATAATAACAAAAATACTGCAATGTAAGCAATTTCAGTCGCTCTTTTTACTTCTACGTAAAAGGAAGGGCTAAAGGCGTCTCCAGCTGCTTCATTTATAGTGTTACCTGCACAGAAGTAGCCGTTTTTCTTTAGGATGTCATGCAACACTCCTCAACCAGATTGACAACCCAAGGATTTGAACGAACGGCTGCGAAGACGACAATAGGCTTTGTGTAGGGTGCTGATCTGAACCGCGCGATTTTTTTTTCTCAACCACATCGCGAGCGAGTAATTTGAAATTTACCCATAGCGACTTATTGCGTAATTCAAGAAAAGGAAAACGCTTACCTGAAGGTAAGGTGTTTACGACTGACAATTCTGGCCTCTGGATTTTTTTCGTCGATCTGGCTGTGATGGAAAATATATAGCTCCTATTTGTGTGGTGTCACGGAAACTAAAACGAGAAGGAATATTTAGAAGACGCACCATCCTTGAAGGATTAGTCATTCCAGTTTCGGTCGAAGCGATCGAAATCTTGATAGACTGAAAACATCCTGAGCGTATGTCAATGCGATTTTATTTCAAATGCGTAAATTTGGTTGTGAAAGTTTCTTTACGTGGCGCAGCATTTGATAACATATCATCAGTCAATTATTCTCGAAAAAAATAACCCAGTCGTGAAGCTGGTTTCTTCTTTCTATCGATGATTTTATTACGACGCAGATCGAAAAGGGAAACCATTTCGGTCGCAAACTGAATGTTTTAGTGGTAAACTGTAATATAATTCCAATTGTCAGGGTTTTGGAGTTTTTCTACCTCCCCAAGAGCTACCACTGCGAAGACGCTCTGGAAGTCTATGATTCGTGCTAAGCCCTCTTGGTGCACTTTGACCGTGGGAAAAAGGAGAAAACGTACCTGGGCCAATCCGAAAAAAAAAACGGCGAGTGGAAAACCTTGCTCCATGCCCACAACACAAGCGAAAAAAAATGTTAAAACTGATAAATAAGACCATAATTCCTCCCCTCCTTCACTCCTTTCGTGCTCTGTCAGGAAAGGCAGACGTCGCAGATCTCATTTTAACGCAATACAGAGGGAGAGTGTTGCGTGACTACCTTTACAGCGGACACGAGAGAACAAGTGAAGGAGGTACGTAAGAGTTGCACAACAGTGCACACGTTACATACCAATGATGTAAACTTCAGATGTCTCTTTATGAGTTACTGTTCCACCGCTGTCTACTCGTGTTGCGATATTTTTTTTTCCCTGCTCGTCGCCTGTGATGTCGGAACATTTCACAATCACTTAAAAAAAAGGACAGAGAGTTCTTTGGACCACGACAGGCGTTAATATATGGTGTACGATTATCATTTTATGCTCTTTGCTGATAAAGACTTTCAGAGGGATTTGAGTCGTTTTGAAACGCGATCAGAGGATATTTATTTGGTTAGTTTTCCAAAATCAGGTAAGGCTCTAGATCAAGAGTGGATCACGTTAATTATGGCAAGTTAAACACGGTTAAAGTTTTACGCAACCAATAATTATGCATGGGATCTTTCGCAGTCATCGGTAAGAAGCTTGCATATGTTTACAACCGAACGAATAAATGCGTACAACGAAGAACAATTTTCACAACTGACTGAGTAAGTGGCCATCGTAAGGATTTTACAGAGCTGCTGTTTCGAAAGTTAGCCCTTTGCTCGAACGAGGGAATCAGCTTTAGGAATTCTTCAGGGTGGCAAATTTACAATATCAACTCATTTGATAAAATCAAACTATTTTATAATGCCCTCCACCTACGCAGTTCCACAATTTCTTCAGAAACCTTCCCCCTTTATCCATACACTGATTCTCCATCGCTAGTCGCACGAATTTGTGTTTTAAATCTTCGTACGAGAATAGACACGTAATTAGATATTATGCAAAATAAATGATGTGCCCACTCCTTTTACACTTTGTTAAATCCAGCACTAACGTAATAAGGAGGGGGAGTGTTGTGTGACGAATCTAACGACAATCACTATAAGAACAAGATAAGGAAGGTACTGGGACGAATAAGTCGCGCAATAGTGCAGACGTTACCTACCAATGATGTCGGAACATTTCACAGTCATCCAAGAAAAGGAAGGAGAGTTCTTTGGACCACGACAAACGCTGATTCATGGCGTACGATTATCAATCAACGCGCCCAGCATTGATAAGGATATTGAGAGGGACTTGACTCGTTTTGAAACCCGTTCAGACGATATTTTTGTGGTCAGTTTTCCAAAATCAGGTAAGGCTATAGATCGATCCTTTCGATTGGCCACTTTGCTCCTCTTTGTCACCGATTTCTTTCACAGTGCAGTCTTTTGAGTGCTGATTTATTTGTAAATAGGGAAAATTTCTGCAAAAAAAAAATGCAATTTTGTCCATAAGACGTCTACAACACATATACATACTGTTTCGTTTAATAAATAGGCGTTGCCTCGTGTTGACAGATTTATTCGATGACAAGAATCTTGATTGACATTAATTCAATAGATTGATTTAAAAGCGTTAGATTATTATGTTTTAAGTCAGTTTTTCAGCAGAATCGAAGTGAGAAAGGAGTTATTTTTGTTATCGTTTTTCTGTCTCTAAATCCGCTTACCTGGAGAATCTGCTAACCCGTAAAGTGAGACTGTTGTAACGACCCGCCACAGAAGTAAGTTTATATTGAAGTTTTTGAATTTAGTTACAAGATAAAGACTTGATTTGCGTTTGTTCTAATTGCGAATTATAAATGTATTTCTTTTAGATCGAATAATTATTAAAGCTTGGCTTAATATTATACGGTTTGTGGTGGTCATTTGATCTAATCAGTTCCGAGTAAGGAAACACATACCATTTTGTAATCATTGTTTAAAACACGTGACTTCATAGCTTAAAAGGTCCATAGGGAGAGTACGTAAAACATCATGATTTCTACAACAAACCGAATCACTTCGTACCATTGATAGAGTAGCTCATGTTTACAACTGACCAAATTAGTGCGTGCAAGAAATGCAAACTGCGGACAACGAGATCTATCCTGAACTAAACTTTTTTTTCCTTTTTTCAGGAACAACCTGGGTGCAAGAAATTGTCTGGCAAATATTCAACGATGGAAAAATCAGCGAAGAAAGTGTACAAAGTCGCTATCCCTTTTTGGAAAAAAGTCAGCTCTTCGATAGGCCTGGAGACGAGTCAGACCGGCAGAAGGTGTCCGTGACTTCTCGGCCCAGTCCCCGCTTAATTAAGTCGCATCTTCCTTATCGTGTGATTCCAATGAGTAAAGAGGAGGTCAAAAGAAGCAAGTATATTTACGTGGCAAGAAATCCAAAGGACGTTGCTGTTTCATATTATCACTTCGTCCTAAGCTTTGGCCCTGGCAGTTACTTTAATGGGACGTGGGAGTTCTTTGCAAAGTTGTTTCTTGAGGGCAAAAGTAAGGATTTTTATTTGTTGAAAATGGTTTTCGCTGTAAGCTAAGTGGAAGTTTGACAGCATTGCAAGCTGGCCTCCTACCGTCTGTAAGTTCGCCACCTGAGGAAAAACAAGTTCGCTCCCACCTTTACCAGTCAGGTCGCCCCCAAATCTTTGAACGGTATCGTGATTTCGACAGCAAAAGAATACGTTCTGCCTCAGGGGGGGAGGGGGAGGAGTGGTGGGCGGCGGGTAAGTTTCTAAAGAAACTGTGGGACTGTCTCAGTGGGGAAGTATAACAAGAAAGTTGATCTGTTTTATCAACTGAGTTGATAATGTTAATTGGCCACCGTAAAGAGTTTCAAATCTCACGTTTCGGGCGTTAGCCCTTCCTCAGAGCGAATGATAAATGGCGAGTGATTTGCTCTGACGCAGGGCTGCGCTGATTTGCTCTGACGAAACGTCTGCTTTGAAACTCTTTACGGTAACCAATTTGCATCATCAACTCGGTTGATGAAACAAAAATTATCTTGAAAGGTTTAGGGGCGAGCTGGGGAAGGTGGGTGCGAACTTGTTTCACTTCTCGGGGCAAACTCGCAAAGGAGGTAGGAGAGCGAACTTGCAATGGGGCGAAACCTCCATAAACCGTTAGATATCTGTGATCAAATGAAATGATTGTGAATTTGAATAATTTCCTGCAGATTCATATGGCTTTTGGCCTGATCATGTGCTACCCTGGTGGAAACACAGAGACGAACCTCACGTCTTATTTCTAAAATATGAAGATTTAAAGAAGGTGAAAAATTTTCATGTTTTACTCATCAGTGTTTTAGTAGAACTACAAGTACACAAGATATATTTTATAGTCCGACGATTGTAAGGTGAATCCGAGTCTGTTATCAGGAAGGGAGCGGAGATTGTGCAACCATAAAACCCCTCTAAATAAATAGTGAGTAGTTGCACAAGTCTAAACTTGTAATGATTTCCATAAAAATCCATTTACCTTTCAGGATCTTTGTGGTAACGTTCGACTAATCAGCGAATTTCTCGAGAAGCCACTTTCAGATGAAATGATCCGTAAAATCGCCCACCAGTGTACGTTTGCGGAAATGAAGAAAAACTCCAACTCTTATGTCTTATCGGCATTTACTACAAAACCAAACTTCCTTCGCAAGGGTCAGATTGGAGACTGGAAAAACATCTTCAGTGAAGAATTAAACAAACAGTTTGAAGAAACGTTCTTGACGAAATTGAACGGGACTGGACTGCATTTTGACATAGAATAACGAACGTTGATTGGTTTTCAACTCAAACATCAATGCATTTTAGTTACATAGTGCTTTTATTTGTTATTGTTCAGGCTATTGCGTAGCTAAGGGAAGCAATCTCTTTTCTGTGAAGTTTGAGAGAGGCACGGATAGAGTGATAGGGGTGTGGTAGAGTGACCCAGAGTTTAAGCTCCACCCCTCCTCAATCAACACAAGAAGCATACGAGGAGAGAAAGCGAAAACGTCAATCACGTTGCCAGATCCTACCGATTAACTGTAACTGAAAAGTCGGACCTTACAACCGCTTGGCCATGGAGGGTCTGGATACGAGATTACAAAAATGTAGGAGGTGGGGGAGAGGGTGGGGGAGAAAGAAGGAAAATTTCCACCCTACCCATACCTTTAAGCTTATGACAAGAAATCTTTCGCTGTGGACGTCAAACAACAGTACATTTTTCGACCACCAATAGTGCTCCTCTTATGGCAGCTTCTGCAGGATCTTGGTGATCTTGTTTTACAAATAGAACGAGAAGAACTATAACTCCACTGAGAGCTACCAAGGCTCCTGACATGTAAAACGCTGGAGGGTACCCTCCGAAACTGTCCGCGACAAGCCCTGCGAGAGAAAAATCCGAGAATAATTCAAAATTTGACTGGGCTTTATCTCGAGAAGCACTAAATTCTCTTTACTATATAACAAAGAAATACATGGAAGCCAATAGGAAGGATAACTAATCAGTTCTCAGAGGAGTTAAGGTTGAGGTTAAGGCGATATTCAATGCATACCTCCGAGAGCTGGACCAAATGCAGATACGATATTTGTAATACTCTGGTAGAAACCAAACCCACGATTACGCTGAGTTCCTTTAAAACAAAACATGCATGCAACACACATGGCGCTGAACATGGCTCCGTCCGTACATCCATACAACAGGAAATAAAGCACAAAATAAGTATATCGTTTAGCGAGCGGCAGAAGTAAGGTAGCAATTCCCTCCGCAACCGCAGCGATCTGGAAAAGAGAGTGCGCTTGAATCTTTTCGAAGTCACACAGACGGCCGATCACAGGACGCACTAGCAATGACGTAACTCCGCTGTAGATGTAGAGTTTAGAGGATTGATTTGTAGATATCCCTAGTGTCTCGCAATACCGAACCTGTAAAATAAATAACTTGTTGTAGGACGACGTTTACTCGCCAAAAAATTCAAAACTGGTTTCCATTATCGGCGAAGTCATAGTTGGGATTCCACGGAGACGGAATCTGAGGGTAATTCAGCCGACGAAATATTACTGGTACAGAGTACCGGTGTAGACTAAAAATAAAATCAACCTGGTCCCCCTGAGGCTATTCTTATGACTCTCTCCCGCTTCATTGGCAGTTGATTGGCAGTCCATTTTCTCCAGCCCCCCTCTATTAGCGACGACTGATGCCCTCGCCGTTCACCCTAAAAACCACACCATCCCAAATCCTCCAATCTCCCCTCCCCCCTCCTTACCTCCCGCAACAAATTTTTACCTAAGAAGACACTTTTGATTATTCAGCAAGACTTTGTTGCAGTGGTAATGCTACAAAGCTCGACTTACCATATGGAAGGATGGAATGTAATGCCCGGCGTACGACAAACATGTAGCAACAGTGAAAATAACAAAACGTCTATTTCTAATGAACCACAAGTAAGAGAGCTTTTCTCTATAATCCTCCCCCGGAGCGTCGCGTTGATCTGTCTTATCATCAGGTATCCTGATAAAGACACAACTAAGGGGCCCTATTAAGGCCACAATCCCAGCCATGGCCATAAATGTCCCGCGCCAATCAAGTGTATCTACAAAAGCCTGCATTATTGGGCTCATCACGAACAAGCCTCCTCCTGGCCCCATGGCAACAAGCCCCAGTGCTAACGAGCGCCGTTTTATAAAGTACTTAGGCATCGTCAAGTACAAAGGAAGAAACACGAAACACGACCCAATTCCGAAAATGATACCATAGCTGACCATGATGAAATAGATGCCTGTACCCCGTGACGTCACCAGGAGGGCTGCAATACTGATTAGGGTCCCTGTGATGACAGTTTTAAGGGGCCCGATGCGGTTGTACACTTTAGCCACCAGCATACTGTACACACCTGTTCCAACCATGGCTAGTGATCCAACCAGTGCTATGAAAAAAGGAGAAGAGTTGAAGAAGAATTATATACCAAAAACCACAACATTTTCATCTCCGCCGATTAAGAATTGATATTCAAGTTCACTACTGATCGCGATTAGAGAATCTAAGTATTGTAACCGTTCAAAATCTGTCTTCAAATGTGCTTGCTATTCATCTAAGGGCGCCACCATTTTGAAAACAACTCAGTAACCTCGCCACCTTCATAACATAACATCACCATCAGCTAGCGCTCTGTTTATCGCGAAAAATTAAATCATTGGCGGGGTCAAGGATACCTTTTACCGCACACTTTTAAGCGCAAGTTAAGACAATTCTGTAAAAGGCCTGGTTACTCTTTGGGACCTCAAGATGCTAATTCTTTGCTAACCTATCGATAAAACAGCAAAGAAAAAAACTTCTTCTCGTCTCCAGGGCCTTCCCAATTTCCTTGAAGGGAAAAGAACCCTGGAAATCTTCTGAGAACCCTTTGTGTTTTAAGGTCAAATGCAAGTCGAACAACCCTGATAAAGAAAAGACCATATATATATATAGAGCGGATCTTTAGCTAGAAAAGTCTCAAACTTTGTTAGAAAGGTGAAATGTTGGGTAATGGTGTCCCAGGGGTAAAATCCAAAATGTCCACTTTTGCTCAAAACAGTGCTTCAAAGTCAGAGAGGTTCTTAGGAGTAATGGAGAAAAGGGAACACAGATAAACACTTTTGGAAGTATACTTGAATCTTCACTAAGATGAAGAGAGACTTTTATTCGTCGTTTTCGGTGGACGGGAATAAAATGAAACAATAATTTTCAGGTCACTCAGGTAGTTATCTGATCCACGACGTATTTATAGCACCTTGACTAAAAAAGTTCCGCATACCTGTGGTCGCCTTTCCTTGTTTAAATTCGTCCAGCAGCGAGGGAAACAGAATTCCATAGCTGTACGTTAGACCACAGATGATAATGTTACACAAAGCACACACACCACAGACCAACCAAGACCAACAGGAGTCAGATTCGCATGTGCGTCTCACACACGAGGACGACTGGGAGCCATCTTGGACAACATTTACCGCTGGCTCTGTCTCTTTCCTCGACATCTTTCTGAAATTTAAATTGGTTCCCTATGAAGTATCACTGGATGCCTGAAGACACTGAAATGTAGGATATCAAGCTTCTAAAGCTCTCAAAAAGCAAGAGTTTTTTTCCTTCTTTTGGAAAAAAATCTATAACAGCAAAGATACACTAATCAACCGAAGACAAACACACAACATGGCGAAGAACCAGACCGCCAACTTTTAGACCACGAGAAGTCCCTATCTTTTGGAGAAGGACGACGCGTGAGTAAAAAAATTATAAGCGAGAAAACATGATGTTAGTGGAACTCTGGGAGTGAGACACGATAATTGGCGACTCCTATGCCAGAAAGCTTGACCTCTGTGTTGCGCCTCACCCAGACTTACGCGCGGTTGCGCTAACATCATTTTATCTTTTCTCCGCTGATTTTTTCCGACTCGCACGACGGACTTCGCCGAAAAGTAGGGACTGAAGATAGTCTTCAACCTTCTTTCTAACGCTCGTCCAGCTCATTCGCTTTAAACGACTGCTTAAAACTTGCTTTTAAAAAAAAGCAATTCTGCAATGTAAGCAATTTCAGTCGCTCTTTTTTACTTCTACGTAAAAAGAAAGGCTAAAAACGTCTCCAGCTGCTTCATTTACAATAATGTTACCTGCACAAAAGTAGTCATTAACAGTTTCCGTTATTCTTTAGGATGTCACGCAACACTCCTCACCCAGATCGACAAACCAAAGATTTGAACGAACGGCTGCGAAGAAGACAATAGGCTTTGTGCAGGGTACTGATCTGAACGGCGCGGTTTTTTTCTCAGCCACTTCGCGAGCGAGTATTTGAAATTTACCCACAGCAACCTATTGGGTAATTAATTCAAGAAAAGGAAAACGCTAACCCGAAGGTGTTTACGACTGCTAATTCTGGCCTCGATCACCGGAATATAGATAGGTATCAGTGAATTGTTACTGAAAATTAGCAGGCTGCCTGTGATGGAAAATATATGGCTCCTATTTGTGTCGTGTCACGGAAACTAAAATGAGAAGGAATATTTAGAAGACGCACCATCCTTGAAGGATTAGTAATCCCAATTTTCGGTCGAAGCGATCGAAATCTTGATAGACTGAAAACATCCTGAACATATGTCAATATCATTTTATTTCAAATGCGTAAATTTGGTGAGATCATCTTAGTAAAAGTTTCTTTACGTGGCGCAATATTTGGTAAAATATCATCTGTCGACTATTCTCGAAAAAATAACTCAGTTATATGATCACACTTCTGAATTTTTCGACAACTGCGTCTCGAAAAAAGCCGGTTTCTACTTTCTATCGATGATTTTATTACGACACAGATTAAAACGGAAAACCATTTCGGTTGCAAACTGAATGTTTTAGTGGTAAACTGTATTTTAATTCCAATATTACACTGCTATAGACGATCGAAGTAAGGTGATATCCCGGCCCCTCTCATATGATGAGATTCGGGTGTCACGAAAGCTAAGACCTAAGACCTAAGACCCCTCTAGAACTAAAACCTCTCGAAAACTAAGACCCCTCTAAAAACTTTTGGGCACGGGATATTTCAAAAGAAAGAAGAAGCCAAGGTGATCTTTACCACCTGGAGGAGCTACAACTTGGAGATCGTGAATTGTACTTGAGTTGTATACATGCAGGCTACAGAGCTGCAAAATTAAACGTTGAATTTAGATAAGTAAACTTTTCACTGCTAAGTTTACACTCTATTTAATTAAGAAAGAAAAAGTGAGCTTTCTGCTTCTCTTTCCTTATTGAATCAAATTCACCACGCATTAGTGTAGACAGGGCCTGAATTAAGGAATGCGTAATTAACAGTGACTTTGACAGCGCAGCAGAGAATGCTTTCGATGTGCCGAGTTTCGACCGAAAGGCCCTTTGAACGTATTCTGCTAGAATAAGTTGCCTGTTTTCAATTCAGTTACGGGAAATTTTAAACGCAATTTTTAAGATCAGTTTTTCCGATCGCGGCTCTCGTGGGTGACTTCCGGTAGTATTCTTGAAAGGACAAGAATTCATGACCAGTTCAGTTCATCCTCTTTCACGTGGTAGAGCTTTTGTAACATTCCATATAAAATATTATTTTATAGAGAATAAGAAAGATGGCAAGTTTATTATCATTATTTATCTTTCAAACCAAATGCTGCAAAATTAGTGTGAAGCAGATTGATGGTAATGTCGTTTTGCGGCCTAGCGACTGCATTTCTTCCTGCAAACACTCAACTTTCATGAAATAAAACAAAGCTGTGCGTTCATCGAGATATGAAGCACTTGGGAAGTTTGGAGAGCACTCAAGAAGCTAGAGTTGCTCTCAGCTACGCCTCGAGCAACTCTTACGCATCTTTCGTGCTCTCCAAACTTCCAAAGTGGTTCATATCTCGATGAACGCACGCGAACGTATGAACCAGTTGTTAATTATGACGTGCATTAAATGTCGATCGTCGAGCTCTCCATGGTAAGAAAACTGATATACTTGATCTGTTTTGACATTCTTCAATCAAAGTGATACCGGAATGCTTTAGTTGGTGTGCCGGACGATAAAACCAACTCGGAAAAAAGGTTGCTTTGGCAAACACTATATGTTTGATTGAAAAATGTCAAAACAGATCAAGGATATCAGTTTTACTTGCCATAGCGTCCGAGGCACACACAAAATCCAACTTCTCACGTACTCTTGCAATGTTCAAAGAGCCTTTGCAGTTAAACTCTCATTGAAAAGTAAGCGCGAGTCAGAGAAGAAAAGAGAGCTCGGCAATCGACATTTAATGCACGTCTTAACACTACTTAATACTATAAACATTCAGGCTCACCAACGCGTGCAAACTGTGGTAAACCGGGAGGCCGGCAAACCGTGGTAGAATCCAGTCTCGTTGCTATTTTAATTAACGCTTTCATGAACGACAACGAATAAATGCAATATCGGCGAGAAAAAAAAGGAGAAACTCACTGAATTGGCTCTGCTTTACGGCAAGGTGAAGTAAGACTCTTACACTATGTGATGGTTTCGCGACAGTCTTCATATTCGATGACGTCATGCCCCCCAGCAGATCACTGTTCCGTTTGCGGTCTGCATTTTTGGTGGCGTGAAGTGAAGGCTATCTCGCCGAAACCAACAAGCAAGCACAACGATTCACCACAACATCGAAATATTTCGTGTAATGCTAAGGAATTTAATGTTCAGATAGAGCGTCTGATGTTCTGCAAAGCTATTCGACACAACGCTACACCATTTGTGTATACGCTGTACCATTCGACATTACGCTGAGCCATTTCACATAACGCTATACTGTTTAAACGTACGCTGTACCATTCGACATTACGTTGAGCTATTTGAAGCAACGCTACACCTTTTGTGCGTACGCTGTGCTGCTCGACATTACCCTGAGCCATTTGACGCAACGCTACACCGTTTGTGTACTGTAATGCAAATGAGCGCTAAGCTATTTGTAAATTGAGCTAGTCTATTTCACAATGTCATGTTCCAACTCGACATGGGCGATACTTAGCACGTGCCTTCGAGCAAAAACAACATGAAAAATACATTAAAATAATTATACATTTGGTTCGGCTCAGTTAAAGTACAGCATCAGAATCTAAGCCGGCCTACAGCCGTTCTTCCCGGCTGAGCCGATCTAAATGAAATCAACCGTGATTCAGATGCTGTACTTCACATGAACTTAATTCGTTGAATTTGATTCGGCTCGGCTGAAGTACGGCGTCTGAACTGGGCCTTATATGACTAAGCTTGTAAATAGACTCTGTGGAACTTAAGCAAAAGTGCCCCAACATTTTATGCGCTACTCAACAGTTTTGTGGACGTCTCAGAGTATTTTTACCATCTTGAGTTATTCTTCTTTACAATTTTAGAATGATGACTCGCGATTTTCGATTACCGTACATTATCAAAGCCGTTTTTATACTAGTAATGGTTACTTTTCCACGAAAGAGATCGACGCAGAAAGCTTCTATGGATGTAAACTTAATAACTCTGTAACTTTATGACATATTTATAATGAGAGTATAGTTTTAAAAGCGAACTGAATTCACTCAATACGTCGCCTCTCCTGTCCCCAATTTCAAAAATAAAATTGACTGACCTTTGTTTAGAATGCCATGCATCCTATATATTGCGAATGCCGTGACAAGTTTACAATCGTCTGTTTCCTTGGGACCACAGAATTCCTACTTAGACTATTTCTTTTTTCCTTGTGGAAGTTTTTTTTTTCTGATATGTACGAGTTCCTGTTCCCGTGATCACGCGAGCGATAAACAGAAATTCGTGTCACGTACCCGGTTCGAAAGCCCTTGGTCAGGTCACATGTACACTTCTTACTGATTTATCTATTCTTTCTTTTTCAATTTGTGCGTGGTGTGAAGCTTTATGGATGGAGCAGATTGAAGAGAATAGCAAATGTTGTTTTTTTGGGCACTTATAAATGTGTGAAATTAATTTTTGTAGCGGTCTTAACAATAGGAATTTGGGGGGTCCATGGGAAGTTTGCAGGGACATTCAACATGTGCTTGTCGCGTCTTTTAGCCTACGCACAGCCGTACCCTCCCCCGCCTCCGTTTTACCTTGGCGGGGGGAGGGAATGGCTACCCATAGGCTACGGTTTTTTCGGAAAGGGTTGAAGGAAACTTATTCAGACAAATTGTCTCAGCTGTCATGGAAAATATTTCATTTTGCATTGAAATCGTTTTTCCTTAATTTTTGCAACTGGACTGAACTCGTATTTAGGCTTTTCGTTGACACAGGCTCCCTCGATCAATTATTTCGTTATTTATTCCCATTTTTTTCACTAGATAATCCACTCTCACGAAAAGAGGAGCGACCGGAAACAAAACAATTTTTTGGGATGGAGTTGCATTAAAAAAAAGAAAAAAAAGTTGTCTATTCAGCTTTGCGTGGTATCCCTCTTGGACGCGGTGAGCTGAGACGAGTCTGGTGGTGCAATGTTATTGATACCTTGTTTTGTATTTTCATGTCCTAATTTTATACTTGCTTTCCCTTGATAAGGATCGTAGAGAGGTTTTTCTCTAACAAAAAAGAGGTAAGAATTAATGCGAATGTAAAAAAAAAACCTTTACCTTTACCTTTACATTTTATGATCACATCGATCGATCGATCATTGTGCAGCGCGGTTCGATTTGAAAATCGACACTGATTCATATGAAAATTTGACGAATAATTTAAGCCTGTTATTGTATGCTGTCTCATTTGAAGTCGAAATGGTTACTGTCTTTAGGACAAGTTATTGATTTTGTGAGTTCAGTTGACTTCAATTTCTCTATTGTTTAAAAAAACTGTGGTGCTTGTGGAGCTTGGGCTGCCTCTGATAGAACGGAATAATTTGATTTTATTAACTGAGTTGGTAGTGTAAATTGGTCATCGGTAGCCCTTTATTTGCTCTGACGAAGAGCTCACGATCGAAACATCGGCCTCTGAAACTTTTTACGGTGGTCAATTCAAATAATAATTTCAACTCAGTTGAAGAGAGGACCGTTCATTGAAATCTCGATTTGGTTATCTTTCCTTGAGTAAACTTTCTCTGGGGTGTCACGCAATACTGCGTTTCACTCCAAAGAACTCATGGAACTACGTCACTGTTTGACATGTTTTTTTAGTGACATACACTACGCCCATACAGATTTCTTGATTTACTGTTGGGGCTGTAATGCATTTAAAGTATTTCATTTTCGACTGTCTCTTTTTTCATCATGTGCTTGTTTTAACGTAGAGCTCTGTAAGGTTGGTAAACAGATATTACAATGAAAATGATAGCTTACTGTTACAGCAATGGACTAGTCCAGTACTAGTCGTCAAGTTTTCAGCCTTGAAAACTCAATTTAGCCTTCACTCTATCAGCAAGTCACTAGCATCCAAAACTAAAAATAATTTCGAATTGGTCTCATGTTTTTTTACTTTGATTTTTTATTAGGGTTAGTTGGTCCGTCGGATGAAAACCAAATTACTTGCGTGGCTCTAAAGAATCCCGAATCGTATAAATAGAATTTTATTCGATCTGAAACAATAAATAAATAAGATTTCTAAACAACAGAACCTAACCAAAAATAAGAGACCTAAGCACATCATATAATCTTCAAAACACGAACAGATTTAACCGCTAATTACATGCGGTCTTACAGACATTACACTAACAGAAATCAACGCGAATAATTGAATGTAACAAAGCCTAAGGAAACCAAAAACGACTTAAAACAACTGACTTACTTCGTGACGGGATTCCAGAGTTAAACTAAACTGTATAATCATCAAAAACGGGAAAGCTATCCTGATTCATGCCTCCGACACGACACGTGTAAAAACTAACTAAAAACCATCAACTTACTCATATTTCAGTGTCAATCAAGGTGATCAATAAGTGAAAAGAAAAGGTGAAATATTAAACTAAATAAACTTTTAAACGTAACGCAAATGTCACGCGAGCAATGTTCTTCTCGAAACAAGGGTTAGTTTTGTGTCTGAATATCTTTTAAAACCTCTGATGTTGCATAAGTAAGACTTAGTATCTAGGTGATTCGTGCTTGAGAAACAATTGTTTTGGCTGAAGCATTGTTTGCCTGATAAGTATTGAAGTATTTTCAAGGCTGAATGTCCTTTGGCAAAAGTGACCCCTTAATGGCAGATAGGGTGATGCATGCAAATTATAAGCAAATACATCTCTCATGGACGAAAAATAAAAAAATTGCAATTTCAGGGAAGGAGAAATGCATGTCTTGCACTGCTACTAACAAGGGTGTGCTCATAGGCTATGACAGAACTTCCCCATCAACAGCTCGTTTGGCATACCTCTACACCCACCAAGTCATTATTTTTTTTTTTAACCAGTTGCAGATAAATAATTGACCAGAGGAATCACAACATGTCGGTGGATTCAGCTTCAGATCATCACAGGAGATGCTTTTCAGGAAAGCCCAAGCAAGACTCCTGTTGGTCTTGGGTTGTGTGCTTGGCATGCGCTGCTTCCAATAGTTTAGTATGTGGAATTGTTAATAGCTATGGTATCATGTTTCCATTTTTGTTAGAAGAATTTCAACAAGGGAAGGCTTTGACAGGTTAGTCATTTCCTCAGCACTGTATGAAGCAGTCATCCTGTATTAAACCTTTAGCTCCCATGAGTGACCAAGACAGAATTTCTCCTTACAATATCAATACAATATCAACCAGATAAGTAATGAGAATAAAGAATAATATCAATTTGGGGATAATTAGTTGATCCAATACTAAAATCTCTGAACTAACATAATAAGAATTGTATGGTTGACAGAGAGGAGAATTACAAATTTGATCTGAGAGTTAAAGGGTTAAGCACTTGGTTGTCTTGAAGTTCTGAGATTTTTCCCCTTATGTACTGTTATTTTTTTACCTCTATTAATTAACCCTTTAACTCCCAGATCAAATTTCTCATTCTCCTTACCATCAACAATACAATTCTTATAATGTTAGGTCAGAGAATTTGGTATAGGATCAACTAATTAACCCTGAAATTGCTATTTTTCTTTATTCTCATCACTTATCTGGTTGATATTGTATTGATATTGTAAGGAGAAATTCTGTCTTGGTCACTCATGGGAGTTAAAATGTTAACCCTTTACATTCTAACATCAGTATGCATTTTCTCCATTTTACTGTTCTCTAAACATTTCCGACACGGAGAATTTGTCTAACAATCAAGAGCTTCTTATGTTGGTGATCAGCTCCTTTATTCTCCTGACCTTAATGTTTAATTCAGGGGTGATATGGTAAGGAGAAATTAGATGCCAGTCACTCTTAAAATAAAAATACAGTCAAATACAAATACAGGTAAGGATAGAAAGAAATTAAATTTATCTTTCCCACTGGAAATTTTTGTTTATATATTTTTTTTTCCACAGCTCTTGCTGGTTCAATAGCAATGGTTGGCAATGGACTTTTTAGTCCAATAGTAGCAAAAGTGTACCATCGAGTTGGACCACTCAAGACAACTATAATTGGGCTCTTTATCTGCTGTGGGGCCCTTCTATTAACGTCCCAGGGACCCAACATGCACCTCATTTTAGTTACTTATGGTGTCCTTTTCGGTTTTGGTTCATGTTTTGTATTTTTCACCCCATATCTTGTAATACCTCTCTGTTTTGTCAAAAGACGGGCTCTTGCATTGGGACTTCTGGCCACTGGTCCTGGTGGAGGTTTGTTTATAATGAGCCCCATTCTGGAGGCCCTTCTTGTTGGGTACCACTGGAGGAAAACATACGTGATCCTCGCTGGCATAATGGCTTTGGCTTTACCCTTTCTTTGTACTCTTGGGCACATTCCTGAACAAGATGATGAGCAAGTGCTTGATCAAGTTGATCAAAAAGAAACACGTTGTAAAAGGATGTGTTCAACTCTCAAGAATAAGCGATATGTCATCATTATGGTGTCCATGTACGCATATTTTGCAGCGCATTACATTCCTCTCATTCATATTGTGAGTGCAGTCCAGTTTAATTATTTTCAGTAGTGTCTGGTTCTTTTAGGGAGCAGCTAAGCACCTCTGTCCCCAAATAGGTCTTTCAGAAATTATGAAGGGAATAGGGGTTTTGAAAGACATAAATTTTATAAGGACTCATGAGGTAAAACTGAGATTTTCTTCGGATATGTTAGGGGGGGGGGGTTGGGTTTGATATGCGTCCCAAATACATTGTGTGGGAGGTAAGATAATGTCAGCATGTAGGAGTGATTCGCGTCGGTACACGTCACCTTATCCTGATGTCTGTAGGCACAGGAGACCCAAGTATTACGGTTACATCTGTTTCATCACTGCCCTGGGGATGATGTTTATGAAATAAATCACCACTTTGACCTGCAGGTGAAATTCAAGAGAATAATCGATCCTTGCATGAGATCTGCGATATGAGTAATTGCTGAAAAGAAGCACGACGGGACTCGAACCCATGCCTCCCAGTTGCGCCCAAATGGTATCTGGTACTTTTGCTGCTAATAGTGGGAGGCGCGGTGGCCTCATGGTTAGTGCGCTCGACTTCGGATCGGGTGGTCCGGGTTCGAGCCCTGGCCGGGGTCATTGTGTTTGGTTCTTAGGCAAGACACTTTACTCTCACAGTGCTTCTCTTCACCCAGGTGTACAAACGGGTACCAGCAAATGTTCTGGGGGTAGTAGAGTAGCCGCTTCATGCTAAGAAAACCGGAGTTAAGCACCGGCCCCATGGGCCACCTGGGCCCGTATAAAGGCTTTACTTTTACTT